TCAGCGACAAAGTTTCTTTTGCCTGAGATCAGTCCTCTCTCTGCTTCACATCCTGTCTCCCATAACTTCTCCCTTTCAACTGGCTTCTTCCTCTCGGCCCACAATCATGGAGGCTGCTCCCATTTTGAAATAAACCAATACACGCAAACCTTTCCCTCGACCCATGTTTTCCCTTCTTCCTTTCACATCCACACCCAGTGCCTCCATTACTTTGTCTTCCTTTTCTCCCCCAAGTTACTGCACATCGCTGAAGCCACTCTGGGTACAGTCCCAGAGCCCCTTTCATGGTAAGACTCAGTCATTAGATTTCAGGCCTTGCAGCGGGTGACACTCTCGGCCACCTCCTTCTTTTTTTAAACAATTTTTCTTTATTGATTTTAGAGAGAGAAGAAAGGAGAAGGAGAGAGAGAGAAACATTGATGAGAGAGAATATTGATTGGCCGCCTCCTGCATGCCCCTCACTGGGGATCGGGCCCACAACCTGGGCATGTGTCCTGACCGGGGATCGAACCAGCGACCTCTTGGTGCAGGGTTGATGCTCAACCACTAAGCCACACCAGCCGGGCTTGACCACCTCCTTCTTATGAGAACATTCTTCTCCCTCCATTTCCATGGCGCCCTTCTCTCTTGGTTACCTCCTATGCAGCTCTTCATTCTCCATCTTCCCTTCCTCAGCTCATTCTGTCAAGTTTGAAGGACTTAGCTTCCAGCCCCTTGTCCACTGCTGAGCATTCGGGGCTTGCCACCTGCATTCATGGCTGCAACCCCACTGGCACACTGATGGCTCTCCAATTTCTATTTTCAGCCCTGACCTCAGGTCTGAGCTTCACTGTCACAGATGTAACTTCCAGACATGGCCCCTGAGTGCCCCAGGGGTCTTTAGTGCCCCACTGAAAATCTGACATCATTTTCTTCTCCCAAACCCGCTTCTCTTCTTATGTCCTTTATTTCAGTTGGTGACATTCAGGCATGGCACTCAGAATAACCCACCTAGTAATCCACACCTGGACACCTGCCCTGCCTTGCGCCTGCGACACACCACACACCAAGTCCACATCCATTGGGTCACTAAGTCCTGTCAATTTGGCCCCCCAGTACCTCTTCTTTGCCACTGCCACTGAGCTCAGGCCCCTCCCCAGGTGCTGTGCTCACCTCGGCTCACATCCTCCATCCACTACAGCTAGAATGATCTCGCCCATAACAAAAGCCCGTCTTGTCTCTTCCCGCTTATGGCCCTTCAGAGATTCTCCACTGTCTAAGGATCTCACCCCTATGCACCTCTACAGCCTCATCTTCTTCCACTCCTACAACTTTACACTCCGCTTGGGGCAAAATCGCTGTCACATGTTCCACCTACGTGAATGCCTTTCCTTTTGCTCTTTCCTGGTGAAGTCTTACTCCTCCTCCAAGACCCCGTTCCCCCCTCGGGTGCCTTCCCTGACCTCCCCAGGCCAAGCTGAGCCTGTGTTGCTCTGCTTCCCCCGTGCCTGCTCAGGACACCTGTTTGAGCCCCTAGGGCACTTGAGCTGCGTTTGTGTACAGGTGGTGCTTCTCCCCAGAGTGGGCGGGGCTGTGCTGTCTGTGTCCGCATGCTCAGCACTGTGCACAGAACCTGGCGCGCTATGTTAGAGCAGATGTTGTTGAAAACAATACGAAAGTGCATGACTTTGGGGAGAGGCATCCCACCTGAACCCCAGCTGATATTCATAGAATTACACAACTTGGTAGTCAGATAAAGCCCAACCTTGCATATAAAATCCAACCACTTCTTTATCTATTCATTCCTTGTGCATTGACCACCTTCTTGGGGTCAAGTACCAACTGGGCTGGGCGCTGAGATTCCAAGGTGGAGGAAACACCGCTCCAAGCTCCCAAGGAACTCAGAGGTCAGGGCTTAGAAAACCAACGTGAGAGCATCCCTGGCACCTTAGGAAAAGGTGCTGTGGCTTCATGATGAATTGACGCGTGCTTTTGTCTTCTATTGGGGGTGTGGTGGCCGGAGGCTCTGTCTCACCTCTCAGCGTGTTGTGACGGGGGATTAAAGTTATTTAGGGTGAGGATAAAGACGACTTTACCAAACCTGCGGGCACTTAAGGATGTGGTCAGCAACATCACCAAACTGCACGTGGGGCTGAGACTCATGACCCTGACTTTGATAGGGACCCTGTGAAAAAACATTTTAAACCTTGCGCCATTGGTTCCTGTATAGTATGTCCCAGTTGGCACTCATGTTTACATTCAGCATCTGTATCTACAACTAGGGTGTGCTATGCTGTTCTGGGTGGTCTGAGAAAATAGGGAATGAATAAGAAAGACCCCACATTAAGAAGTTTAAAATAGTCTAGGGGAACTAACTCGTGCATTCATATAACTAAAATGCAATAAATCCCTAAAGGATTGTGGAATAGCATCTATAAAGTGCTTTGAGTTTCAACTAGAAGCTCAGGTGTTCTGGGACATTGAGTTGCTAGTGTGAGCAAGATGTTAAGTGGGACCAAGGACATAGGCTAGTTACCCGGGGACAGATCTGCTCCCTGACCACAGGTGACCCCTAAGCCCAGTCAGCCTCAGGCCTCACTCCTCAAAGCCCATTGTGCATAAAGGCTGTTGGATGCCGGGGAAGGTCCAGAAAAATTTAAATTTTGATGAGTCTTTAGCTACAAAGAGAATGTCTATTCTCATATTATTTTGCACAATCTTGTAACAGGACCAATCCCAAATCATGTGAATTTAAAATACTCCCAAGTTTTGAAATATATATATTCTCCCTTTACGAAGCTAACATGTTTTTTCCAGATTTTTAGAGAAATCGATTCACTGAATGCAAAAACTGTTTAAATCAGACAGCATACAATACAAAAGTTTTAATGCTCATTTTTTAGAGTACACTTCGTTTCTGACAAACAAGCCTTTTGTTGACATGGATATTATGGGAACAGAACGAAAAAATATAAGAGATAGTCACACATCCCACAGTTTTATAGGGAACACCCTCTGTCTCTCCCATATGCAGCGTGGAAAACAGGGCCAGAACGATCCTGCAGAAACTTCCTGATGAAAACAGAAACAGCCGGGTCAGCCGTTCCCAAGCTCCAGCCGGGCTGTGGCGGAACCGCAGCAGAGATGCTGTGCTTCGGCGCCGCGTCTGCGTGCTGCGGGCCGAGGCGCTCAGCGAGTCCCGGTCCTCGGCACGGGGCTGGGTCCTGGGCACAACCCAGACTCATCTGGCAGAAAGACTCCAGATTATCAACCCAAGAGCCACGTGAGCCAAATCCGTGCTGCTCCCCCACCCCGGGCTAATCACTTCTCGGCTCTGGTCCGCTTACCCTCGCTTTCCCCTCCCCCGCCACCGCACCTGCGCCGCTGTCGCGCTTCCTCTGCAGGGGGCTCCAGGATGGGCAGACGCCCCCCACCGCCACCAGCAGCTTTTGGAAAACAAACAACAAAAAAAAGAGGGGTGCTTCTTTGTTCTTTCACCGGGTTAACCCGTTTAATGCAATTCAACTCCCACCCCCATCCCAAGTTTGCAAATTTCTCGCCATGACGTCGAACGCCGGCCGTTTCCTTGATGGAGATTTTTTGTTCCTGGCCCTGGGCTAAGTGCTCTACGTGTTATCTTAGTGAAGTCTCAGAGCCACCCGCCCTCTGAGGCGGATGTTGTTATCTCTGTATCTGTAATGCAGATGCAAAGAACCGAGGTACCGAGAGTAACTTGCCCAGGGGTCTTAGATGCACCGCTAGGTTTGAAGCCCAAGTCGGTTTTGACCTCAGAGCCCTGAGTCTTTATTGCTGCTCTTTATTTAGCGAGATTAAGAGTAGCAGCTTTCAGAGAGAATAGTAGCTAATACTTATTGAGAAATTACCACTTGCCATATACTGTGCAAAATATTTCTCCAAACTACTACTCAAAGGCAGGTCTGCCACCCACCAGTTACGTAATCGCGAGCAAGTTTCTTAACCTCTTTTTGACTTAATTCCCTGTCTGCAAAATGAGGCTACAAATATGGATGTTGTGAAGAGTACATGAATTAATATATGTAAAGCTCTTTGGCACATGTTAATCCCTCAAAAATGTGCCTTATTTATTTTACCATCACCTCCATTTCACAAGTGAGGAGGCTAGGCTTGGAGAGATTAAACCACCAATTAGTCCGGATTGCCCAGTGCACGCACGCTCTGCAGCACAGACCTGCTCAGGAGTCCTGCGAGGTGCAGGCTTGCGGGTAGGTGAGTCGCACCTGGCGGGTGGGAGGCACGCTTCCCGGGCATCGCAAACGCGCTGCAGCCCTGAGGCCTAGTATGGTCCTTAGTACACAAACAGGGCTGAGGGCTCGCCTTGTCCCGGATATGAGAGTGCGAGGGCGGTGTGGAGGTCCCGCCGGAGCCCCCCAAAGCAGGTCGGGTGACACCTGTGAGCTGCAGGCCGGGAGCCGTCTGGCGCACAGAGCGCCCCCTCAGCCCTGCGCGCGCGCGCACACACACGCACACACACTAACACCCCTGCCCGCAGCCAGCACCCCCCCCCCGCACGGGCGTGCGCGCGCGCGTACACACACACACACACACACACACACACACACAGCCCCCCCCCCCCGCCCCGCCGGCTCCCGCTCCCGCCGCGCTCCCCCGCCCGCCGCGCTCCAGGGCGGAGTTTCCTCCTCTGCTCATTGTTCGCAGCCCAGCGCCCGCCCAGCCCGGCCCCGCCCGGCCCCGCCGCCGCCGCCAGCGCGCTCCTGGGGGAGGGGGCGGGGGCCGGTGCGGACTGGACGGGAGTCGCCGCAGCTGCCAGCCAGGCCGCAGCCGCTCAGACACCGCACACGACGCAGCCGCCCGTCGTTCCTCTGCCGCCTGGCTCCGAGCCCCAGCCCGGCTCTGCGACAGCGGCCGCGAGGAGGGACCGCCGGCGCGCGACTCAGGAGCACCGGGTCACCGCCCGGCCGCCGCAGCCACCGCCAGGCCTCCGCACTGCCCGGGCTCTCGGACCCTCCGCCAGCCTCGCGGCCACCTGCTCCGGGCCCGGGGCCAGGACACGATGCGTCCCGCGCTGGCCCTCTCGGCGCTGCTGCTGCTGCTGCCGCCGCTGCCGTCGCTCTCCCAGAATGGTGAGTGGTGGCCGGGCCCTGCCGGGACCCCCGCCGTGCGGTGCACCCCCGGGTGGGCGGGCTTGCGGAGAAGCCGCCGCGCCTCAAAGCTGGACCCGTAGCAGCCCTTCTGAGGCCTCTGGCTCGGGCCACACGCGGAACCCGACCTTGCACCATCCACGCCCCTTCCAACCCGAGAACGGCGCAGGTGCCGGCCCAGGGCGTGGGTTGTCTCTGGTCTCCGTTCGCGCGCAGTGGGCGGTGGACTGTGCCGGGGCAGCCCGGGGCGCGCCGGCGCTGGGTGGGTTTGCTGGCAGAGGGCGGGAACTTAGGTCACCGCGAGGCCCCAGGCTTTCGTGCGACCCTCGGGGGCTGACTACTGCTTTTCACTGTGTTGGGTGGGATGAGGGGCGGCATTCTGGGCGCTCATGAGAAAGTTCCCGAAGCAGGTGACAAGGCTCTACTAACGGCCCACGCGGGCGACTCGTTATTCGTTCGCAAAGAGGTTTTTTCAAGCCTTGTGTGCGGACTCAGCCAGCTGAGCCCGTGCTAGGGCGATGAAGGGGGGATAACTAGACCTTCCACAGTCCCCGAATCACCCGAGTGAGGTCCCTGCCTCCATGTCACCAAAGGATCCCTTCTTAGCGCGTGGCCAGGACAGTGAGAACCCCACCTTCCTCCAACCCCTTTGTATGAACAGGAACTTTTCTCTTGCAACTTGGGCCGCACCTTAGAAACACCCCCATTTTTCTTCTAAAGGTGAAATAGTACCCTCTTTGGGGAACAGGCGGTGGCTTCAAACCCAACCAGAGCAGGTGTTCCAAAGCCCCTAGGAACGGCTAGAGTCTCAGCCCCGGAGGTGCACGTCTTTCTTGGCACCTGAAGAGTCTGTAGTGAGAAAGTGATGTTCCCACCCTAGGGTCAGGAGGACCGGCTTGAAAGCCCAGACAGGGAAGGGACCCTGCTGCTGGCAGGCGCTGGCATTTGGGACTAAACTGTCAGAGGGAGGGTGAGCTGGAAGGGCAGTCCTATGTAGTCTCCTCTCTACATCTGCACGGCAGGGAAGCTGGGGCGGGGGGGCGGGGGGGGGGGGCTGGAGCTCAGCACACAGGCTCCACCAGCCTGGCCCGAAAGGGAAGGGTGTGTCCTGGAGGAGGGCGCGCAGTGTGAGGACCGCACTCACTGAAGATCTGCACAGCTGGCAGGGCTGAGAAGATGCAGAGAAAGTGTTCTCTCAGCCCTGCTCTCGGGGCAGCGGGCTTCAGTGTGGCCTTGGCCAGCAGTCTCTCTGTAAGGAGCCTCTTCGCGCACCCAGGAGGGAGAAGGGCTAGTTCCCAGTGCTTCTGAGCTTAGAGGTGCTGAGCTGTGAGGAGAGGGCGTGGGCTGTGGGGCAAGACTCCATCCTCCTGCCCTAAGAGGAGGTGCTCTGGAGCCTCACGGGAAGAGCCGCAAGCCCAGCTCTGCTGGCTTCACAGTGGACTGTCTCCCCTGGCATCTGGGCACTGTCCAGAAGCCCTGTCCCTTCCGGAAGGCCGCCCTCAAGCCTTGCGGGGCATGGCATATGGTAGGAGCTTGATAAGTGGTAAACAAAAAACAACCAGAACCTTCCTCCTGCCCCCATCAGCAAGTCACTCGGCCTCTCCCAGCTCCCCCAAAATACTATTATTAGAATATGCAATGATAAAGGGAAATGCTTTGAAAAGTGTAAATCATCAAGGGGTTATTATTATTTGCATAGAGAAACCAGAAATGCCTGACGGGGTGCAGGCTTGGTGTTTAGGGGCTGTGGAGGGAGTCGGTAAGGACAGCTCTGTCTCTGCCCTTCTGAAGGTGTGGCTACCTGGGTCGTCAGGGATGGTGTCACCCCCAAAACTGCTGGAGTCCTGTGATTCAGTGCTAAGAATCATACAGTGAGTGAGTCTCCTTAACAAAGGAATGATCTCTGGCCAGGTCCCCTGGGAGCTTACCTTCTTAGACAGGCGGATCATGCAGCCCACAGCACGAACAGCATGAAAGCCAGGAGCCCGACAGTGCAGACCCCTTCCCAGTGCTTTTTAGTTTGATACCCATTTGGTTGAATCACATGGCAAGTCATGGCTCTGAGCCTCAGTTTCCTTACGTGTAAAGTGATAACAAATCTCTAACCTGCAGGTCGATCTGAAGATAACTTATGTGATGAGCTTGATATTGTGCCCAACTCCTGGTCAGAGCTCAATCAATCCTAGCTATTATGATTGAGCATGTATACTGGGCACTTGGTTGGATCCAGTATGAGGATCCTGCTCGTGTTTGTGGGTGTCCATCCATATGTAGTGAAAAAATGGAAACTTACAGTGCTAAGTGGTGTGGGAAAGGCAGCCTTGGTTAGAGAAACGCGAAGATTTGGGAAGAGGTGACCTGGGCAAAGCTTCCTGAAGGAGGTGGGGGTTTATATGGGGATTTTAACATCAAAGGGCCAGCATGGGATAGGAGACCATTTCCTAGGGTGGCTGAGGCTAAATGAATTGCAGGGTGCAGGGGACAGATTAGAGGCTAGGGGTCATGATGGGCGTTCTTGGAGGGGGTCAGTGAGCTGCTGGGAGGCTTTGGGGAGGGATAGAATGAGGGACAGCAGGTGTTCTTAGCATGGCACTACTTGGGCATGGCTTTGAAGCAGGAGTGAGCAAGACGTGGGGGTGCGGTGGGGGCAGACTGATCTAAGCAGGTCTGAGAAGAGGAGGGGTAGGGGGACAGGCCGGAAAGGGATGAGAAGACTGAGGTCACCAAGGCACCAGGTGGCAACTTGCCAGGACTGCGTGGAGTGGCCACCCAGGAAAGGGCAGAGGAGGGGAGCTTGGCCTTTGTGGGCTGGTTCTCTTAGGGTGGCCCTGGGCCTAGAGAAGTCAGGGCACAGAGGTGGGGGGAGGGGACAGCAGGGAGGCTGCACCCCACCTGCCTTTTCCTCAGGAATCCATGTTGGAAGGGAGAGGGGGGCTCCCGCTGCTGGCGGGGGAGGGGCTGATAGCTGCCCTTTGGAGGCTGAGAGAGGAAGAGGGCTCCTTCTGGCTCGAGTTCCTCGGAACCAGGGAGGGCTGGACAGTTAGCTCCTGCCCGTCCTCAGGTATCCTCCTGCTGAGAAGCCGTCCCTGCTTTCCTAGATGGAACCGTGGCCTGTCTGTGCCTCCCCGACATGAGGTGACAATCCCAAGGACGCAGCAGTATATTCATCTCCCCCTCCAGAGCCCAGCCCAGCATCGGGCACTGAGCGGTTGCTCAGAGTTTTATCTGGGCTGTTGAACTGAGGGGAGCCAGGCCTAGCCCCCAGCTCCAGGCTCTCTGGGAGGCAGCCGTGCCAGCTCGCATCCTGGGCAGTGATGATGCCAGGGCTGGTGGAAGCAACTGCTGAGGGCCCGGGGCTTCTGGGCTTGGGATCCCCTCCCAGGCCAGTGGCTACTGTGAGGACAGTTTATTGCCAGGCCTGCCCCCTATTCCTGAGGCAATGGGAGGAACCCTCCGGACAGCCCACTGCACTTCAAGGGAGCGAGGCTGGGATCAGATGGCCCCTACGCTGGGAGGCCTGCTACACGCCCTTCCCACCCAGGGGCCCGCTGCCGTCTGCCGAGTGCAAGCCCTCCCTCCCACAAACTGGGAAAAGGAGGACGAGCTTCCTCTGCGGGCTCCCTGCTCACCAGCCCGAGGCCCCGGGCCCAAGCCCCCCAGAGACTTCCTCAGAACTAGAGGCTGGGGAGCTCTGGGCTTCCTATTTGTGCCGGTGGGGTAGGAAGCAGGGCGGGGAGCTCAGCGGGTGGGGGTGAGGGTGTTCCTGTCACATCCCAGTCCCAGGAACATGGTGAATTTGCACAGGCCTCTCCCTGCCATGTGTCCTGTCCACTGGGTGGGGCTGTGAGAAGATCAAGTGAGGTGGCAGATCTGAAATTGTGACTCGGGGGTCACACAGGCCTCACACTGGAGGTAATTCTGTCAAGGACAGCCTTCCTGGGCATCGACACAGAAGACTTCATGTCGGCAGATCTCACGGTGAGAGTCCTTCAAGGAGGCCGTGCAGAGTAGAGTTCGGTTGGCAAAGGCCATCTGCACACCGCTGCCAGGTCAACTAGAGAATCATGGAACACAGGATTCTGGAGCCGGGGTGCTTCTGGGAAACATCGACACCTGCTCTTTCAGACGAGGGCATGCAGACCAGGCTGTGAGGTCGCTTGCCCAAGTTCCCAGGGACTCCCGGGCGGCTTCCGGGGGCTGTGGGGACACGTGTGCAGCCACAGGTGCTCGTCACTGCACCTTTCTCCTGGGCAGTAGAGAAGCTCGTTCACGTGCTCTTCAGAAAGAGACGCACGGTGGCGACAACTCTACACCCCACCCCTGCACCATCAGGGTGAGCTGAGGCGTGGAGCCACTTTGTTCATCAAGAGTTAGGCTCGCCCTGGCCAGTTTGGCTCAGCGGTTGAGCCTCGGTCTGCAGACCAATGAGTCCCGGGTTTGGTTCCCGCTAGGAGCACGTACCACACACAAAAAAAGAGTTAGGCTCTGCAGGGCCCCCCGAGTACCGGGTCTCAGTGCTGGCCACCGTGCATTGTGACTGTTTGTCTCCTGCCAGGAAGCCCCTGTAGTGTCCACACACCCAGCCGGAACCTGGAACAAAGAGGTGGTCAGAAGTGCTGCTTGGAAGATGGCACATGAAGCGCAATTGACAGCAGATTCAGGAGCAGCCCCTCCCCACACCCACACTCCACACCCCACACCCCACACCCCAAGCTCTGGTATTGGCTCTGAGCTCTGACCCCGCCCTGAACCGCTGTAGCAGACCCTCAGCTTAGCTTGGCCTCCTAGCCCACCCTTTGTCCCCACCCCTTTCCCCAGCGCACGCCACCACCACCCTTTCTTCCTTTGTAGCCTTATTCCCCTCGGGTCAGCCACCTCGAACTTCCCTAGGGCCAGGGCGCAGGGTGGCACCTTGTCCGCCAATTGTCATGGCCGGAAGGCTGTGTGCCTCAGCCCCAGGGGGAGAGAATTCTGAGTAGTAG